CCCAATCAGGTCCCTGAGAACTTCAACTTCTCTAGAACCAAGTAGTTGAGGTCAAACGGGCTTAGAACCCTCCTCCAGATGAGTGAAGGGGACACAGTGCATTCAGATATATCCAGGCAGCTGTGAGAATGCTCGGATGAACAAGGTTTTCATCTCGGGCTCAGCTGACGTCCTAGCATGCTGCCAAATCTTGAGCACCACACATTTGTAAGCATAATGTGACTCTGAGATTTTCAGAACTATGTCGTCAGCAGTCTTGTTGGCCAGACCTTGTCAGGTTGACACCAAACAGCTACCCAGGAAAGGCTGTCCCTCCCGCCCCATGATAACACCAAGGACATTGGCCTATAGGTCTAGAAGGTTCTAAAAGATTCTAGAAGGACATTAGCCCCCTCATGCCCTGGGGTTGGGTGACTTGCTCATTGTGCATTTATCTTGTGCTCGGTCCTGAACTGGGCCTTGGATGTGCAGTTTGATTGACAGAAAGCCTGGATTCTTCCATAACACAAGGGTCTGGTGAAGGTCAGAGGAGGTGAGAATGAGGTTGTGGCATTGGACGCACAAGGAGGACATCTGTGTGAAGATACTAGGCGGCCAGTGGGGTGGGTAGACTCTGAAAGATGCAGGGCCGTGTGGAGAGGTGGACTGGAGTTGTGTGGTTGTGAAATGAGTACAGGCAGCATGAAGACCACTTAGTCTGACTTCTACTAACTCCACCAGGGGGAACTGCATCCCCAGTACAGAACTAAATCTCGTAAGATCACACACCGTCTGATGCAGGCTCCTGACCTGCTGCTAAGTCCAACATTACCTTACTGCCTTACTGAGTCCAGAATCCATTGCAGTGGTCACACAGACCTCACAGAAACACACCCACGATTATGGGCTCATTAAGGAAGCTAACAGGGTCTCAGCAGGACGCAGTCCCTCAGTCCAGACAGCTTCTCAAGTGTGGTTGCAGGCCCTTTGACCTTCAGCCTTGTGGCTTGGGTCAGGGTCACAAAGTTCCCTTGGTCCTGCCAGTCAGGGCGTCTTCCCTCAGACCTCCAGCGGGCGTGGGCAAAGGCCTCGAGTGAGCTCTGTCTGAGGTTGGTCTCTGACTCTCTGCCAAGGCTGCTGTCGCTCTTGTGTAAGTCCCAGTCTGACTAGTCCTGGAGGATACACATTTCTCTCCCTGCTTCCCCTTCCTCCCTGGTTGACATTCCCAGTTTCTGCCTCTGTAATGGCTTGATTTAAACCTAGTGGCATGGTGAGGCTAGCCAATCCTCTTGTAGACAGACTGATAAGACTCTCTTTGTATAATCCTGCCCATCCAGGTGGCAAAGTCAGAGTCAAGCCATTTGGAACACTAAACCTGACACCACAGTGGTGGAAGGACAGGGAGGAGCTGTGTGGACAGGAAGGCTGACACTTGGCTAAACAGGCTCTTCAGGACATTGAGTGCCCCAAGGCCCATGGGGCCTGTGGTCAGCCACGGAGCATTTGGGTCCAAGTGCAGCCATGGGCACTTGTGCTTGGACCACAGGGACCACCATGGGAATGAGGGACAGTGACCGTGGAGACAGACTCCGTGTATGCTCTGTTGCTGGCATACCTTGGCGTTGACAAGTGTGAGGAGCCCGACAGGAGGGGGCCCGCTCTGATGCTGGCCCCCCTTTTCCTCCAGCATCTCAGCCAAAGGACCACGGCCAGCTCCCCAAGCACAGATCCCCCGCAAGCTTACCACCCACGAGGCTGCGCCCATACCCTGGGCCTGGCATTGACGGACTTGACTTTCTGTTGTGACTTGGGGGCATTTTACAGAGCACTGTGGCTTTCCCTTCCACGTGTGTGTTGTTTCGTGTGTGTGACTGTGATTGTAATCCCTCACGGTGAAGCAGCGCTCTTCCCACGGCCTTCTGTGTTTCCAGTTCCCATGAGCCCCTCCTTACCCATTCCTGGCCTTGGAGGTGAACCCCTCGGGCAAAGGTCACCCTTTCAGCTCAGTGCAGTTGACTGTTCTGAGAAGTGAGTTCCTCTTTGGAGTACAGTCCACCTGGGGCTGAGCTCGGGTAGGGTGTGGATGTGTGTATCTGTAACTCTGGATGCAAAGTGCTCCCTGGCCCGCTAAGCCCAGCAGTAGTTTTGGATGTGTCTCCTACCTTTCCCATGTCCTCCCCCGGTCCACCAGGCAGGTATGAAAATCACCCCATTTTGCAGGTGAGGCAGTCAAGGCTAAAACGTCTGGGTCCTTGGAGGAAGTTGGTGCTTGAGCCAGACTGGGATCTCCACAGCTTGTCCTCAACGTTAGTATGGTCCCCAGAGGTCCCTTCCCTTAGCTACCCATCCCCAGGACTTTACCTGTGACATTCTCAGTGGTCACTCTTTCTTCTCTGCCCCCCGGCCTTGTTCCTCACTGTGGTAGATTGGACTGTGTCCCCCAAAATATGTGTCTCCGACCATGATGAGTGTCATCCCTGCCAATCTGATGTCATGATGTGGTTGTTATGAACTCCGTACCCCAGTGATGTTAGTGGGGCCGAAGCAAGGCAGTGATGTTAATGACACAGATACCGTCCAGACAGGGGTAGGACTGTCTCTGCGTAGAGACACCACAGAGTAAGCATGTGAGCAGACAGACACCGCATGGACCTGCTGCCAGGAAGAAGGGCTGGAGCAGAGGATCGCTGCACTGATGGCCTGCGAGAGCCAGGGGAAGAGAGAGGACAAGAACCTCCTCAGAGCGAACGGAGAAAGACCTGCTACAGAGCTGGAGCCCTCAGTGAGGATGTCACAGCCTCTAAACGGAAAGAAGAAATTGATGTTCAACACCTTGACACACACTTTTAAATTGACAACCGTGCTTAGAAACACTTTTTTTCCCCACTGTATTACCGTCATTTGCGGCAACATGTTAAAAAAATGATCTACTTTAGTATCTGTGATAGCAGCACTGGGTGACTGAGACAGTGCACTGTGGTGTCT